CAGGCCATATTACAGTTGGGCAGAATTATTTTTAATGCACTCCCAATTCTCTCTCCTATCCACCCAAAACTGAACGTTTGTGCTCTTTCCCTTTCCCAATTAGCTTGCAGTGTTCTTTTAGTTGGATGACTATCTCCATGTCCTTTTACCCAATAATTTACAAGCAATTGTTTACGTCGGATGTTCAATGGCATTTCTCCCACTTCAACCTGTAGAGCACACACTGGCGATGTTTTTACTGCTCAACACTCCCCTGAGGTGTTCCGTTCTCTACAACATGTTCACTTGATGGGTCTGCTTTTTTCATCACTTCACATCCCCAAAATGCCACACTATGATTCCCTCCACAATTACAACACTTTGGCCTTACTTCTTCCCCACACTTTCCATACTCATGATCCCCACTACACCTAGCACACCTTCTCTTTCCTCTACATACATTAGCCATGTGCCCAAATTCCTGGAAATTATAGCATCTCATTGGTTTAGGAACATATTCCCTTATGCTGCATCTCATAAATCCATATACCTCTTTTGCACTCAAAAAAATGATATGTTGGCTTTACTTGTAAAGAGTTCAAAAAAGTGCAGCACGCACATCCAAAGTAATAAAACTGGGTGCTGGACGGACAGATATTTGCAAAGGTAAACAATGAGTCCGCACACCAGAAGATGCTCCTAAGCGAGGTGAGCAACTATTAAAACTCGCTTAGGAGCATCTTCTGGTGTGCGGACTCATTGTTTACCATGTTGGCTTTACTTAACTTTTTTATGTAAACAGGTTCCACCGGTTCCACATAACTTTGTTTCGTTAAACAAACATAATATGTTCATGTAACTTCAACATCATGGAATTTGGTCATTTTAAGCGACCCAATTAAACTCTGAGCTAATGAGTTAATTAAGTGAATAATTGAGTGATGAATGAGCATTATTGAAGACACCTGATGTTAACAAGCAGAATCTCTGAAGGAGAAAACCGGAATGTTTAAGTCACCATTATGGAGATAAGTATTTGTTTTAGTTGGGCTCTTGACCATTAACTTATTAACTTTAGATTTTGTTTGGTTGCTGTACATGAGTTATAACAGCCAGATGAACAATGAAATCTGATGGTGTTGGTTGTGATTTAACACAATCATTTGACCTCAATCACTGAACTTATATTGAACCCAATTTCTAAGTTAAGTTTACCTTACTGTCTTTGTAGAGCATACTATTTTTAGCCTTTTCAATGAAATTCAAATTATCAAATCAAGAAATAAAAAATAAACTTCTAAAAAAAATATCCTGAGTAGGCACACACAGACATCAAGAATCAGCATATGAATCTCAGCAATGGTGACAAACAGATCATAAGCTCATTATTTATTCATGCAGCAATGCATGATGGGAGCCATGAATGAGTTTTGATTGGTGGCACCCAGAATGCACTGCAACATGCTTTATAATTGTCACCATTGTTGAGATTCACAGGCTGATTCTTGATGTCTGTGTGTGCTTACTCAAAATATTTTTTAGGAAGTTTCTTTTATTTATTGATTTGATCATTTAAAATTCACTGAAAAGTCTAAAAATAGTATGCTCTACAATGACAGTGCTGCTATTATTCGTAAGGTAAACTTAACTCAGAAATTTGGTTTAATATAAGTTCAGTGACTCAGGTCAAATGATTGTGAAATAATGATTATGTTAAAACACAACCAACACCATCAGATGACCTTTGTTTATTGTTCATCCGGCTGTTATAACTCATGTACAGCAACCAAACAAAATCTAAAGTTAATAAGTTAATGGTCAAGAGCCCAACTAAAACAAATACTTATCTCCATAATGGTGACTTAAACATTCCGGTTTTCTCCTTCAGAGATTCTGCTTGTTAACATCAGGTGTCTTCAATAATGCTCAATCATCACTCAGTTATTCACTTAATTAACTCATTAGCTCAGAGTTTAATTGGGTCGCTTAAAATGACCAAATTCCATGATGTTGAAGTTACATGAACATATTATGTTTGTTTAACGAAACATAGTTATGTGGAACCAGTGGAACCTGTTTACATAAAAAAGTTAAGTAAAGCCAACATATCATTTTTTTGAGTGTGGTACATCCTTTGTTTCAAACTCAACCAATACAGAATCTGTTTCTACTTTTTCAATTCCCCTTGTCATTCTTACTGCACTTTTAACTGACCTATTCTGCATTCTCAGGTTCTCCACCAACTCTTTCATATTTACAGTAAGTGGAATTCCATATATCACTCCCTTACTGCCACCATACAAGGCCTATTTGAATTTTTCCGACACAAATCTTCTTTGCTTTATCCATCTGTACTTCTTTATTAAATCCTACAAGTAGATTTCCATCTCCCAAAATTCTTCCATATTTCACTTCTCCTACCTTTTCTCTTATTATTGGATCAATTTGATCTAACCCTACTGATCAATTCTTTTGACTCCTCCTCCTCCCTCAAATCGTACCACTATGAGTGTCAGGGCTCTGTCACAAAACCAAGAAATAGACTAGACAGAAGTGACAGAACCCTGACATAAATTGATCACTTAGAAATCAAAACTTAGTTTTAAGAAAGAAAGAAATTATTGTACCCCTTTGAATTTGTGTTTATTGTGTAAATATATATGTATGTATACTGTATATATACACGTGCATGCATACATACATAGCGAGATATTTTTTTATTATTTTGTGTTATTGTAATAATTTTAATAAAACAGTCTCATCTATTAATGAATGGGTGATAAAAGTTGTAATGGTGATTTTGAGTTTCATAGACCTTAGTCCTTTTTATTATTATTGTTAATTGGAAAAAGAAGATTGTCTCCATCTACAGGCTGAAACAGGTCAGTGCAGGTGGAATAATTGAATTTACTTTGCAATATACACTGTTGTGTATATGATAAAATGCATTGTATTTCATGCTTGACCACAGTATTACAAACACAGTTCAGGGATCTGTGACTAGGGGTAAGTTTATAGTGCACATAATGTTATAGTAGCCTACAAGTCTGTAGAAAGTTGACCAACAATATAACGTAAGGTCCCTTGGTTTGAAATGGAAAATTAGAAGGAAAACACATTAAGTTATGTTCTTCAGAGGTTACCTAAAGGTTATCAAAATGATCATTAGGAGGTTAATGATTACAAGTATTATGTTTATAATAGGTGTGCTAAAACTTTGTTCTGCTGGCCTAGAAGCTCTAGTTCAACAGTGGAAATCAGAACAATAGACAAAGAAATGCAACACAGCTGCACTTAAAGAAACATCAATGGAAACTGAATTGAGACCAATTGTTTTCTCAAGGCCTTTTCATGGTTGCAATAATGGAAACAGATATTATAATATACTAAATGAGAAATGCTATACCTCAAGTCAACTGTGTTTGCATGAGCCAGAAAACTATGATTCACAACCAAGGCCAAAAGGTGGTGATGAGGTATATTGGACAACTATTTCTGTTTTTTTATACTGGCAAGGAATATATATATATATATATTATCATTATGTTCATTTATGGTATCAATAATAACAAACCAACTTAACACGTTTCAACACATTCAACGTGGAACCAAATATATATATATTGATGAAATATAAACTGAACTATATTGAAATATAAACTGAATGTTTGTGTAAAACATCTTTAAGTGCTGAATAGTATACTCCAATACAGGTGAGGAACTATTACTCATAGCCTACTAATCTGATCACTTCCTGACAGTACTTTCTTTACAAGAATCAAATATAATCAGTATCCAAACTAGCTTGTAATCACAGCTGATTCAATCAAAAGCTCTTTCTGTCTTGCCTGCAGCAGTTTCAGTGTTTGTCCTGATGAGCACGAGACCTCAAATATCATTCTTCAACTCTAAAGGCCATATTATACTGTATAAGGAATTCTTCTTCTACAGTAGAGTACAGTATGACATCAAATGATATGTGACAGTTTTGCTGTGATCAGATAATATAGCTGCAATCTAGGTGAAAGGTTCTACAGTAAAATGAACTCTCTGACGTGAGCATAATCACTTTATATAAATGGTTACGCACGGGTACAATCATACCATGCATCAAAGATCATCGACCACATCATCCACTTAATGGATCCCAAATGGACCCCGATTTCTTATATACAATCTTATAATCTCTTAGATCTTAAGTTCATATATCTTAATGCTGATTTACTGCTCAAGAAATATTTATTATTATTATCAATGTTAAAAACAGTTGTGCTGCTTGATATTTTAGATAGATAGATAGATAGATAGATAGATAGATAGATAGATAGATAGATAGATAGATAGATAGATAGATAGATAGATAGATAGATAGATAGATAGATAGATAGATAGATAGAGTTAAGCAAATGTAATGTGCACAAAATAATACATTTTTTTTACTTTAAAACAATCAAAAGAATAAATAAATAAAATTCTTGGGGGGAAAATTATTTTTTTACAACGAAATGTAAGAAATTTCAAAACTTTTTTATTAGGCCAATTTAAGAAAACCATGCAGTTAAAAAAAAAAAAAAATTTAGGCTATAAACGTTTTTCAAAAATGTCTGAAACAAACATGAATAGAATGACTGCATTTCAAGTGTTTCGTTGTGGGTTAAAGTCGTTTTAACTTTGGACATTCATTATTTGTTCAATGTAATTATAATGTGATTCAGTAAGACAAAATAAATGACCTAATCCTGTCCTGAGCGTTTGATCATTATGAATGAGACAGAAACTCCCCGTTGAAACACACCACTGCATTCGCGTTCAATAAGCGCTGATTGATGCCCTACCGGAAGGACCCAACTATAAAAACCAAACCTCGTCTCTGAGGAGCGTTCGTTCACCAAATCACAGTGAGCTCTGCCGGTTAATTATTAGCCGTTATCTCGTACTTAGTACCGGAGCGTGGAGTTTGGAGTCTGCCCCTCGTATCCAGATAAACACTATAGAGAGCTGAAGGAGTCAGGCAGGCACCCATCCTTTCTCTGGCCCGCAGACCTCTAACGAGCGAGCCAACCATGCTGCGGCTTGCTGGACTCTTACTGTGTGTGACCTCCTTTCTAAGCACCTCGTCTCTTGGTAAGCGATTTTTAAAGTCTAAAGATAGCTATATATATATTTAAAAAAAAACATTTACATTAGGCTGCACGTTCCTGTTGGTTTGCTTGTTGTTTAAAGCTAACAAATATTCTCATATTTTCAAATTTAAGATTTAAATTACTTTTAAATATTACATCGATTTAAGGGTTTAACCAGTTCACTGAGGTCTCTGGAATATTAATCTTGAGTTGGGTTAGTCACATCCTTTCATTCAATCTGTGCCCAGATTCATCTAATCATTGCAAGTAGACTCATCAGTATATCAGTATCATTACTGAAACCCTTTTTTGTGTGTTTAAATAAAAATACATAAATGTACAAATTAAATAAAAAACATTTAGTTGTTTTAGGAGGTAAAATCAGGGCATTATCTCTGTATCAGAAGATGTGATGCAATCTGAATGTGACACGTCAGTGTTTTCAGGACAGGACTGAACTGTGTTGGCACTGACAACGGTCTCGTTTTAGAGAGACTACTGTTTATCAATCACTTTATGAATCAACGATACTAAAACCACATATTCAGACAAAATATGTTTGAGCATTAAATGTGTTTGGCACATTTTGATTTGTTCAGTGTTTTTGCCCCTTTAACATCACAAAGTATCTTGATTTTGCACAAACTTTACATTGAATATATGATTCTGACAAAGACAAAAATAAATGAAGTTGCATCACAAAAAAAAGGTTAAGTAAAGAATATAATCCAAATAAATGAGGATTACAGATAACTGAGGATTATTAGCTCATAGTACACTGTTATCTGAGACCCACCTACTATTACAGATAGGACTACATTCCTTTTCCTTCTGTGTTACCTCTAATTTTTCTGCGAAAAGGCTATATGAACTTCCTCTGGAGTGCCTCCGGTTTGCCTGTTGCTTTCTCTTGACCAAATAAAATAAATGAGCATGTGGATGTAAACGCTGTGGTGTGGAGAACAAAACCTACAGATTCAATTCAGAATGAGTTTCCACCCCATCCATTACTGGGTTTAAGGCTGTGTATGAGATGTCCAGTCCACTTCCTGGCTCTCTCCTTTCACATTCCTCTCTTGTTCTAGTCCAGCTATACATGCTGAAGCTCTAGAATGTTTCACAGCATGACATTTTTGTGTTTTTACAGGTGCGAGTGCTGGACCTCGGCTAGATAATGACAAACTCTACAGATACAGCTACAGCGCTGAGGTCGGGCTGAACAGGCTGACGGGATCCACTAGGGGGAATGCTGGATTCAGGATTAGCAGTGATGTGGACATCAGCCTCGTCTGGAGGAACTCAGAGATCAAGGATGAACAGCTACTTCAAGTGCAGGTAAAGACGAGAAAGTACTTTGATACTTTTTTGATTGCATACCCTTGTGAAATAGAAGTGTGCTTAAATGTATTGAATGTGCACTTGTAGCGTATAATCTTAAGTATATATATTTTTTTAATTTGTAGTAGCAGATAATATAATATTAATAAAATTAAAAAAGGACACTTAAATGCACTTAAAGAGAGTACACTTTTATGTGTCTTAACACTACACTTTTTAAAAGTACATTTTAAATCATTATTTTAATAATATTTTGCCTTGCTGACTAATATTGTAACTTGATTATAATTTAAACTAGTTTGTTACTCAATATTACATTTAAAGTTCATTTTAAATGTACTATTTTGCAGCTTCATCATTACAAATATTTGTAAAAATTACTTTACATTTTAAACCATATTTCAAAGACAGTAGAATTATGAAACTATATAAAGATATACTTAAGTCCTAAGCTTAAGTACCTAAGCATGACAAGAAAGGACTCTTAAGTTCAACTAATTGCGTTTAATATCAATTTAAACTGAATTGCGTTTTCATTTAATTGCAAATGACCTGCAGTGTTTGAATACTAAAATGTACTTATTTTTCAAAAAGGTATGTGAACCTAGTGTGAAAACAATTTTATTTGAGGAGCCGTTTACACGACACCGTTTCAACTAAAAATGAAAAACTTATTATGCGTTTTGGCTGTTCATTTACACGACAACTGCGTTTTGGGGGCTTGAAATCACAAAATTTAGAAAAGGAATTCAAAGTGCATGTTTTTGAAAACGATACCGTTATCGTCTCCAAAACTACAAAAAGGTTTTTTTTTGTGAGAATGGTGACGTCATGCGCATGCGTATTACGTGTTCACTCTATAGGCGCATATAGGCATAGGTTATGTGCCTTTAAAAAGTGACATCGCCAACTACTGGCCTGGCATTAATAATACAGTGTTTAAATATGTCTATCTATATAGTTTTTAAGTTCTTGTTTTTAGTTTTAGTTAGTTTAGTAGACTACTTCAAGGTTCTTATTATTAAATGTTGCCATGTCAACTAGTTGAAATAAAATGCGTTTAAGGTGTTTTTTATATATTTTATTTTATTTCAGATAGTAAAATGTTTTTTTTTTTTTTATGGTTTTAGTTTTAGCTAACAATAATACTATTGGTGCACATCACATTCTCCTATCCTATCCTCAGATTTCAAATGTTCAAGTTGAAAGTGCTGGAAAGCACTCCCGCAAAAACAACATCTTTCACGGCAGCTCAGCAGAAAGCATTCTGGGTAGAGTCAGGCTTGAGGCACTTCAGAGGCCCTTCATGGTGCTGTGGAAGATGGGCAAGGTAAACAAACACACTTCATTATGTCATTAAAATGTGTTTCATATCCGTTTTAGTTTTGAACTTTTAAATATTTTCCATAGTGATTTGATTTTTTTGTGTGATTTTTTTTCTTGCTAACTTAGATCAGAAGCCTGTATACCCATAAGGCGGAGCCTGCTACCATCAAAAACTTGAAGAGGGGTGTGGCCAGTATGCTAATGATGCAGCTAAAGTCCGGGAAGATGATGGAGGTACAGTCTGACAATTAAAATTCTCCACTGAAGTGTGAAAAGTGTGTAAGTTTTTCTTTTTTAAAATACTTTCTCCATAATCTGCAGGCTGATGCTTCAGGGAAATGCTTAGTTGAGTACAAGGCTACCAAACATCAGGTGATCCGTACAAAACACTTAGAAACCTGCAAAACGCAAGAGACGGGATTCACCACTCACAGCCCAGTAAGAAAAAAACTCATCTTACCTCATTTATACACCATTCCCAGCACTTTTTTACCTTTCCTCTCCGCTCTTCCAGGTATTGGGTGTCAGTGGGAAGTCTGCTTCTGAAACAGTAATCACTCTGGAGAATGGCATCATTAAGTCTGCCGATACTGAGGAAACACACATTTTGTCCATCAATGCTCGTCATACAGCTGCAACTAAAGTCCTGTCCAGGTACCAAAGAAATGAGAAAACCTATCACGCATGATCAACATAGTAAATGGATGAAATTAAAGCATCTTCTCATTTCCCTCAGGCAGTCATTGACGCTTAAAAAGATTGAGGTAGGGCCAGCAGAAGCGGCGGGTAAAGATGTCGCAGGTGTGGTGAAGTCTCTGGATGACAAACTCATGTCTGTTGGAGTCATAGTGGAGAAAGTTAAAGCCAAGTGCAAGGGATGCCCCAATGTGAGCAACTATGTGTTTATGCTTGTAAATCTGGTGTTGTCATCATTTTATCAGCTTTTATGTTATTCCTTTTGATTTTCTTGCACACAAAAAGGAGACATTTTGCTGTCGCAGATCTTTCCCAAAAAACTATCTTTTTGTGTTCCCTGGAAGCAAGAAAGTCATAGATTTTGGGCTGGGTAAATAATGATAGTTTTCATTTTTGTTGAACTATTCCTTTAAAGGTGCTCTATGTAACTTTTCTACTAAAATGAATCCTTTTTTTATTGCCTGTGTGTGAAGGGGTTGTAATCACACATTAAAATGATCCACTTGTCGAGTTTGGCTATTACCTCTGAAGGCCAGTATTCCTATTTCTATGTGAAGTCTCCGGGTCGGATTTACCGCGAAATCCAACGGATGTGACGTGCATGCGCGCTCCTGAGTTACGTCCGGTTAAAGGCGCACGTTTTTCGGCTTATATCTCAGTCAATCTTTGATCAATATTCCCAAGACTCTAATCGTTCGTAGTGCTGGACGGGGCCTTTCGAACAAGCCCACCCCCGAGGTCCAACTCGCCCGGCTCCCCGAGTTATAGCCGTTCGAAATCGGGGGTCCCAGCGAACGGCGATCCGGTAGGGGGCATCCCCGAGGCCCGCCACTCTAGCGTTGGGGCAAGGGTTCCCCTGGGACCTCCTCCCCCGAATTTGAGCTCTCTGGGTCTTTGCGTTCCAGAGATACGAGCGATTTTCTTCTGAGATCGTGACGTCACCGGCGTCCGCAATTTTGGCAGCGCGCCCGATGGTTTTCTGCTAATATCTCCGCGAAAACACCACCAAAAACTATGGAACTTATATGGTTCTTTTCAGCTCGACTAGATGGTCCCAACGAGCTCGGTGCTCGCCGAATCCGTCTAGTATTCGCCGAGATATTTGCGTAATAGACGGTATTGTCTATGAGTTTGAGCACGAGCGCTCTTGTAAAATTTGGTTGCAATCTGAAACATCACCACTAGAGGCCGCTAAAAGTTACGTAGAGCACCTTTAACTGTGATGTTCTGTATAAAAACAGACAGAAATGTGTGGAATCTGTTTTTGTGTTCATACTAATTGTGCATTGCATTGTTTTGGTGTACAATAGCTGATGGACACATGGAAGGCGGTGAGGTCTCAGCTGGAGCCGGACTCACTCTCTAAAGCAGAAGCCCCGAGAAGCTTCCTCACGCTCTTACACAGCCTGCGCAAAGCCAGCAAGGCAGAGATCCTCACAGTACTGCGCAACTGCAGCAAGACTGCACTGTAAGACCAAACTCCTCATTGTATTTTCCTCTTTCTAATTTATACACTATTGGCCCTGTCCGAAATGGCACACTTCATGTGCACTTGCAGTCTCGTGGACTTAAAATGGCCGTCACTTGCGCGTGTCCATTAAAAGTGCAGTATGTTATTTCTGAAAGTCGTTGCTGAACATTGTTGACATTTAATCAACCCAAACAAACAGACCTCTACATAACAGACCAATCCAAATCCAAACTTCCCTGCTCCGATTCGGTCTTGAATCGCTGGCATGTGAGACGAGTGCACTAACAAGGACGCTAAACAGTAAACACCTCATTCTCTCGAAGTCATCAGCCTGCACAACTCTCAAATGTTACCGTAAAAAAAAGACTCATGTAGACTTCTGTGCACAAAGACTCGAATCAGTGAATTGTTTCTTTCCTTTTTTGAACAATGAACAAAAGAACCAAAATCAGATTTTGATTCGACTTTAACCTTGGTTTGCTTGGCTGTAAAACTGTAAAGATGAAGCATTCTTTTTTGCTACATCTCTACTTGTAGAAAAACGCTTGTTACTGGAAAAGCTATATTTTCAAAACAGCTGAACTACCGGTACTGTCACGTTATTGAAATTATAGTTAGCGGCGTACTTTTAGTAATTTCTTCAAATATCGTATTTACATGAATATTTCCCTACAGGGAACGTTCTCAGAACATTCTGGCAAGGTTCTTTCAGTAACATTAATGGAACATTTGTTCAAAGTTATCTGATCTTTAATAACATTTTCAAAACATTATTTATACATCGTTTACGGAATGTTTTTTTCTCAATTTTTTAGTTGGATGTTCGTCTAACTTTAAAAAAAAATGTACTATTGGTTTCAGAATGTATATTGAACATTCAAAAGTAAAGTTCTCTTAATGTTCAAGAAATGATCAAATGGAATGTTTTCTTAAAGCATTCGCATAACCAAGAAACGTTTTTAAAACATTCAAAAACTGTACGTTTTGAACGTTCAGAGAACATTAGGCAAAAACATTGGCAAAACATTATTAGAACATATTTCGTTTGGTAGCTGGGTAAGTGGCCATTCCTAATGATACCAGAGATGCAGAGATACAGTCGTTGCCTTATGGTTAGAGTCAGAGTGGTAACCCTAAGGCTGCTGGTTCGATTCTTGCAGTGTGTCATCCCTACTCAGTACTCCGAATTTGTGTGCACTAACTTGGATGGGTTAAATGCAGAGGATAAATTCCGAGTATGTGTTACCATATGGCCTTCACATGTCACTTTCACTATATACTATAATAGCAGCCATTGTTGTTGTCCTGCCTCTTTGCTGCTTTTTTACACTGCCAGTTTACATTGTTTCACCTTTCTAGGCCTCAGCTGGTGGATGCAGTCACATCAGCGCAGACTCCATCTTCTCTCTCAGCCATTCTGGAGTTTCTGGACTTCAGCAAGAAGGAAGGTTTAGTGCTACAGGAGCGCTTTCTGTACGCATGTGGTTTTGCCTCCCACCCGACAGAGACCACGCTTCAGTCCCTGCTGGTAAGACACCTCCATTATTGCTCTCACATCTGACTTTACATCTGAATTTAGAGCCTCCTCACTGTGACTATCACCTTTAAATAGATTTTTTAAAGACACACACACACACATATATATATATATATATGTAATGTTCACAATTTTCATAAATTATTCTATGAATTATTTCATGAATTATTCTATCTTTGTTCCCATCTAGGATGTGTCTAACGGAAAGATTGGCAGCTCAGACATTAAGGAGTCAGTTGTGATCATCATGGGAGCTCTGCTCAGGAAACTCTGTCTGAAAGGAGCATGTGAACTACCGGTGAGTCAGAATATTATTCATATTCGCTTCTATTGGAGTATTTGATTGAGTCATATTTATAAATTGCAATTTAATTTACACCCGCATGATTGTTCACATATGATTCATATAAGTGCATCATAAATATATGAATGTATAAAGTATCTAATCTATCTATCAATCTGAGTATCTAAGTATATAAAATAATTTGCTTATGCTTTCTGATACAAATAACAATATAGCACTCTCAGCAACATTTAATACATTAAACCGTGCTTGCATTATAAACTACATCTAAATCAGCATCTTAATCTTTCAGTAATTCAAACTGCCTGAGTGTGTTTGTCTTGTGTTCGATGTGCAGACAGTGCTTAAGGTGAAAGAGCTGCTGTTGGCAGGGCCTGACAGCACTCAGGTGGAGTCTGAGGTTCAGATGTACCTGCTAGCATTGAAGAACGCTCTTCTACCGGAGAGTGTTCCTCTTCTTGCCAGATATGCTGAGTCGGAGGTGGGAGCGTATAGCACCATTGCCATCACAGCGCTGCAGAGATACGACCCTAAGCTTATCACACCAGAGGTACATCATCAATCCCCCATCAGCCTATCTAGAGGGGCACAAAACTACTCACAAAACATTTAACACACTATTTCCACAGGTGAAAAAGACAGTGAACCGCATATACCATCAGAACCAGCGTATTTATGAGAAGAACGTTCGTGCCGCGGCAGCTGATCTGATTATGAGCAGTAGTCCATCATATATGGAAGTGAAGAACGTTCTGCTCTCCATCGGACACCTGCCGCATGAGATGAACAAATACATGCTGTCTAAAGTCCAGGACATATTGCGCTTCGAGATGCCGGCCTGGTGGGTCTCAGGTTTACTAAACGCATGCTTTAAAACATATTTGTTAATTTATAATTTATTCTTAATGATTGTCTCTGGCGCTGAGTGGCACTTGTGTGATAAAAGTCATATGCCTGGTTTGCAGTAAATTGGTACAACAAGTGATGAAGGACATGGTTTCCCACAACTATGACAGATTCTCGAAGGCTGGGTCATCATCTGCTTTTTCAGGATTCATGGCACGTAAGTGAGCTCATCTATACCCGCTCTTAACCTTTAAACCTAAATCTATGACACTATAATATTTATATAATAATACCTGACACAAAGTCTGCATCACTCTCAGAAACAAAGGTACAAAAACTGTCACTGAGGTGGTGACCTTTCATCTTTGTACTTTATTTACCCCTAAAAGGTTTCACAGTCAAGGTTTAAGCTATTGCCAGACTGAAATACATGTCTTTAACTTATTTTTTTATTATATATTATATTACTAAAATAACTTATTAACCATGGTTTAGCTGAAAGCAACTTGCACTGACATATCTTAAAACATATCAGTGCCATTGTTTTGTCTCAAGATGCACACCAGTAATGTTTTTTTCTACGGCACATTTATAAAAGTTACTTAAATGTCCTAATTGAACTAAGGGCTAATCCTGGCTTAATATAAGCCCTGTCTGTGAAACCGGGCCTAAATGTACATAAAGTGTACATAGTAGTTAGTAATTAAATGGTACATATTAGTATCTTTTGAAACGGTACCACCCAAGTTACATCTTTTGTACTTAGTATTACAAATATATAATCTAAAATATATTATCAAATGTTTCACACTATGATAAAAATGTGTTTTATAAAACATGATTTAGAAGAAATAATCTATAGGCAGCTATAATGAAAGGATTTTGCCTTGTGGGTGATAAAACAGTTGAAAAAAATATAAATAAATATCTCAGTTACATTAATATATACATATTAATATACATTAAAAGTTTGGGGTCAGTAAGACGATTTAATGTTTTTGAAAGAAGTCTCTTGGTTACCAAGGCTGCATTTCTTTGTTCAAAAATACAGTAAAAACAGTAATATTGTTAAATATAATTACAATTTAAAATAACTATTTTCTATTGTAATGTAATTTATTCCTATGATGGCAAAGCTGAATTTTCAGCATCATTACTCCAGTCTTCAGTGTCACATGATCCTTCAGGAATCATTCTAATATGCTGATTTGCTGCTCAAGAAACATTAGCTACTTATTGTGATCAATGTTGAGCTGCTCAATATTTTGTATTAATTGAAAGTTCAAAAGTTGAATTTCATTTATTTTGAATAGAAATATAAATGTCTTTACAGTCACTTTTGATCAATTAAAGCATCTTAAAAAAAGCTTAGAAAAGTATAATAAAAAATTAAACTTACTGACCCCATAGCGACCACCTAGAACAACCTAGCACATTGTTTGTAGAAAATTAAATGATAAACATCTTGTTGTTTGTGTCTTGTAGCAGTGTCTGTAGTATATATCATTTATTTCAACAGGAACTGCAGATGTAACTTGCACCTACAATTTGGACATCCTGTACTCTGGCTCAGGCGTATTGAGGAGAAGCAACATGAACATTTATGGTCAGAGCAACAGTGCCCTCCTTCATGGCCTCCAGGTATACTGTCTGTCATCATTACCATGACACAGTGTTGTACAGCATATGCCATTAACATGCATTGTGTGTGCTGATATTAACCTGTGCTTTGTGCTTGCATTCTGATTTTCAGGTGACAATTGAAGCACAAGGTCTAGAGTCTCTAATTGCAGCCACGCCGGATGAAGGAGAAGAAGAACTGGAGTCTTTTGCTGGTATGTCTGCTCTTCTGTTCGATGTTCAGCTCCGCCCAGTGACCTTCTTCAAGGGCTACAGTGACCTGATGTCCAAGATGTTCTCTATGTCTGGAGATCCGATCAATGTGGTGAAGGGCCTTATTCTTCTGACAGATCACTCACAGGTATGACATTCAGCTTAATATGCACTTACAGAAGAGACGCTTGACTCATCACACTCCATAGTAGATCTGACACATGCAGCAGATGTTCTGCAATCAATTAGCATTGCCTGACAGCCTGGGGACAGTGTGTGACATTTGTGGGACAGATTACGGGACCAGTGCTGCATTCTGAAAGTGAATGATGGAAATGATTTGAAACACTTAGCGTGGTTTGAAAGTGTTTCAATTTTATAACTGTGTAATTTCCTGCATATATATACAAGTGAAACTCGAAAAATTAGAATATCGTGCAAAAGTTCATTTATTTCAGTACTTCAACTTAAAATGTGAAACTAATATATTATATAGACTCATTACATGCAAAGTGAGATATTTCAAGCCTTTATTTGTTATAATTTTGATGATTATGGCTTACACCTATAAAAAACCCCAAAGTCAAAATTAGAATATTGTGAAAAGTTTTTCATAGCTGTAAGCCATAATCATCAAAATTATCTAAAATATTAAAAGTAATATTTTTTTGTACTTTCTCACTTTCTTTGAAGGTGATTCCTCTTCAGTCTGGTGTAAGAGCCAGTGCTGAGTTCCAAGGCGGTCTGGCCATCGATATCTCTGGAGGGATGGAGTTCAGCTTATGGTATAGAGAGTCTAAGACGAGCGTCAACAACAGGTGAATTTCTTCTTTTTAAACCACATCCTTGAATGGGATAAGTGTTGTGCATTCAGATAAAGATCCGAGCTCTGATTAAAATGAACCCCACATGGGACAACAACCCATGATGACCTTATGTAAGACATCTCACCCTAGTTTTCTTTAGATGCAAAGTTGGTTTTGATAAAATCAACTACTTACTTTGCTTACTTAGATGCCATTGCCAGATGTTTTTCTTCACTCGGTTTTTCGAATGACAGTAAATACGATGCCGGTGCATCTTATTATAACATCATTAATCCTTCAGAGAGATTCGATGCTAATCCACATCTTTAGCCACAACTGCACCTGCTTGCTTACTGTTAGTTTGTGGATGCAAGCAATGGCAACTTGGCTAAAATGAGACAGGCGGGAAATGAGGGCAATGGAAAGATGCTGTGGTAGGAGTAAAAGATCAGGGGTTGAGGGTAAAATTAGGTTATGATATCGATTGTGAGAAACCAAATGCTCTCAGGGACAGATTTCAGATCTTTACATTTAAACTGATTCCATGTTGTTTAAGACAAAATACTCCCAAGTTCATACTGTATGAGGAAATGTCTCTTTTTTACCTTACATTTAGTGCTGCGGGTTTGCTGTTCTTTGTTTCATGATGGGTATTTCTGGGTGACATCTGCTTTTCTACATCTGCCAGCCCTCAGGACAGGCAGGGGCAGGTGTATGGATCAGGGAGGCAAGCTTTACCTTCTCTGAAAGCACACACACACACACAAGTAGACAGACAAAGACTCACTGACAGACAGACAACCTAATACGTAAACACCCACATGTGCGTGCGGGCACACTGAAGCGGGGAAACCGATAGAAAGATAGTTACGCACACAGACACACATAGTCAGACACAAGCGGGTTATGTTTAGAAACGAAATAAACCACAGCTCTCTCGGGCGCACAAGATTAGCATGCCGCCAATCAGCCCACTCATCACGGGCAGCCATGTTCAACAGATCATTTAAGGTGGAGGTTGAAAGCATGGAGCCAGACTGTCTCATGTGATATGTGAGCCCAAACACCAAAACTGACTCAGCAGAGACCGAGGCAATAAATCTCTATCACAAATTGTTCGCTGTGTGGCATGTGCTGTAGGAAGAATGAGATGTTAAACATGGAAAATCCTTGCTGAAAATACAGCTGAGATACAGTAAAATCAAGTTGTGCACATCCAAAGGTTTGACCCTAAGGGAAACTCTAGTTTTGTAACTATAATCATTTAGTTGTTATTTTAGTACTATTTATATACTATTATAGCATTCATATTGTTCAAGTTTTCATTTTAATTTTAGTTCAAGTTTTAGTCATTTTGTTTTGTGTTTGTCATTTCTTTTTTATATATTTCTATTTAGCTTAAAATTTACATTCTGTTTTAGTATTAGTCATTTTAGTACTTCAAACTCATTTTTTATTTCTGTTAGCTGCCAAGGCAAGATTTCTTTCTTTTTTTATCTAATATGTATATTTTATTTTATTTCGGCTTTATTTCAGTTAATGAAAATAACGTATCTTAATAGCTCTAGTTTTAGTTAACAAATAAGTTTAAATGTATTTTAAGTTTATTATTATGTTTCCTATCAGGAATATACATGCATCATGCCTAAATTAAACTGGCAAACAAACTACTAGGAAGAAAGTAAATGGGACTGAACCAAAAAAAGTGCATATTTGAAAAATTGTACTCTGCTTGTTGGTTCAACTTTTTTCTTTTTCTTCTAAATTAATAAAAATAGAAAATCTGCACAGAGACGCATTACTGTCCCTGAAAAAAGCTTTTAGAATAGTGGAGTGAGTTTTAAAAAAAGAATAATTTTTACTGTGTGGTTTCTTAAGGTTTGTTCACACCAAGGACGATAACTATAACGATAACCATTCTAAATATAAAAAACAATATAGCAGAGTCCATACCACAACTATAACAATAACGGCACAGAGAAACAATGACAAAACTGCAGCACGCACTTATCATAAACAGAGCTTTATCGTTCGTTGGTGTAGACGCTAATATAGATATCATTCTTGGTGTGAACAGGCCTTTAGAGTTTTTAGCGTTCTTGCTAAGCTCATCCTTGACATTGTGTGCAGGGGAGCTCTGGTCTTCATTGGAAACGTGACAGTGGATATGGACTTTGCAAGCGCTGGAGTGGAAGTAGGTTTTGAGACAGAAGCCACCCTAGACTTCATCACTACAGTGCAGTTCTCCGAGTACCCCTTCCTCGTCTGCATGCAGATGGACAAAACCACTTTCCCCTTCAGGTATCTATCAACATATCAGATTCTAGGTTACAATCATATAACATTTTAAAATGTGTGAAATGAACACAACTAACCTGTTTTGCTTCTGATGCACTCTAGAGAGATGGTGTCCAAGCAGGAGAAGCTGCCTTCAGGACGGACATTCTCCTCAAAGAGGAGCAGAGAGCAGCTGGTGCCGGGCTCAGAGTTTCCTCTACACCAGGAGAACTCGAACATGTGCAAGAAAGTCTTTGAGCAGGCCTGGTAGACCAACTAGCAAATGTAAAAGGTTTTCACACAGACAACCACTCTGTACAAGTATGTTTTGCGGTGACTGTATGTGCTAAAACCTGTTGGACATGTGGACACTTAAAAATGAAGGTTCCAAAAGGTGTTTTGCGCAGTGATGCCATAGTAGAACTAGGGGTCTGCCAAAGAACTTTTCAGTAAAAAAGTTCTTAAAAGAACCATTTTTTATTACCGTGAAGAGCATTTTAAAGGGGTAGTTCAACCAAAAATGAAAATTCTGTCATTTATTACTCCGTTCCAATCCTGTAAGGCTTTCGTTCATCTTCGGAACACAAATGAAAATGTTTTTTTGTCCTTCCATTGACAGCTAACACTTTGACGCTTCAAAAAGTCCATAAAGAGATCGTAAAACATTTATCAGCGAACATAAACAGGAGCTCAACCGAGCCTGCTTGACGCGCGAAAGCAAACCTCATTGGTTCTCACACGTCAAGTGAAGATGCTTGAGCTTCCGTTTACCAAAACTAATGTGTGAATTGATGAGTATCTGTGAATAAAAGCCTAAATTAAATTTGTTCATCATATAAAGCGATCGAGTCTCTTCAGAAAATTTGGACTAAACCACTCAATTTAGTTTTTACAATCTCTTTATGAATTTTTTGAAAAGTCAAAGTGGTAGTTGCATAGTCTGTCAATGGAGGGAAAGAAATATCTTCATTTGTGTCCCGAAGGTGAACAAAAGTCTTACGGGTTTGGAACAACATGAGGGTGAGTAATTAGTGACAGATTCTTCTATTCCTTTATTGATCAAAATAAACCCTTTCCACTCTAAAGAACATTTTGTGCAGCAAAAAAAAAAAAGTTTCCTTGGATGTTATTTGAACCATTGATTGGCATAAAGAACCTTTATTTTTAAAAAGTCCTTACAATATGTCCAGCCCTGTTTTATACATTTAAGAATGATCAGCACAAATTCAGTTTAAGGTTTTTTGTATGTTTTATAAATGTGAGGAATGTATAAAAATGTTGTCAGGATAACCAATGGCACTCTCATCATGCGAAAGAATTATTCAACCCCTAAAAGCGAAAGTTAGATATTTATAAATTGTAACATTATAGCATTATAACAGGACTGTGTATTTGAGGTGCTACTGTGTTATTTATTTAATCAGAGGGCTTTCTGACACACTTCATCCCTCCACAGGCAGTTCATGCTGTCTGGTTTCCATGACTACACCAGATGTTTACATTCTTGAGAATATTTATGGCAGTCTTGTACATGGGAAGATAATCAACCATGAATAAAGTCTTTTTTTGGATTTTCTTTGTCATCTTTTTGGTGTTAATATCATTGAAAGTGTAACTTTTAATAATGAAGATCTTTAACTATTAGTATGTACAGTGTCAATGCTTTGTATAGAATATATTGTCTACCGAGGCTTCATTAAGCTAAAATTAGGATGAATGCAGACTAATTAACTTATAGCTCTTTTTTTTCAGGATATCTGAATTTATTTTTTTAAAACATGGCTTTGAATAAATCTATGTACAACGCTGTACAGTACATTAAACTTTGGGAAGTGGTAGAAAGATTGCTAAAAAGAAGTAAAGTTGACATATCTTTTTAATAGTACTGAGAACATAGAACAAGGATAGAGTAAAAGTAAATAGCTTGTCTAAAGCTGAAATCTTCTACATCTACTGAAACAGAAAGTTAAAGGCAGGGTAGGCGATTTGTTCTAGAAACATTTTTTGTTATGCTGGTTGAAAGTCTCTTCACATTCTGATAGCCATCACTAAGTTAAGTGGTCTAAATGTACAGTATTAATATGTATATATCTCGTCTGTGGAAGGCGTAGGACCATAAAATGTTCATCCAATCAATACAATGTCCTACCTGCCAGTCAGCGTATGTATTATCATGCCTCAACGCACCCTACTCGCATAGACATCACACGTCATCAGCACGTTTCATGATATACAGAGTTAGACAGACATCAGTCACCGAGCACCGCAACCAAAACAGCAGCCGGCTTTTACAGTTCCTCCTGAACCAAAACAACAAGCTTATGCTGAGTTTACGCCATAACAACTGAAATTTGGAAGAGATGGAAACCTGTGACGTTCTACTCGGAGCGGTTTGTGACTCGAATATAACCAACGGCGAAATGAATCTGCAGCAGTCAGGTGGTACAGGTCAGTGCTCTTTAAGTAGTTTATGTTCATAATTATTGTAATGTTGTGTTCTTTGAGACATGAGGAAGTTTAACGTCGTTGTGACTCTGTGCAAACTCTGAAGGGAGGGTGGGATCTTACGCTTTCAACGCTAGCTTGCTATTGCTAGCCACTCCAAAAATTGCCTACCCTACCTTTAACAGTATAGGGACATATTTAGGGACTTGCCTCCTTTTTAAACAGACAACAGCCCTCAGCTCAGCTTATCAGCTATCTCCCAATTCACACACTTTAATCCTTTTTTATTTAATTCCATTACTTCTCAAATTTGCAGATGTTTATATACAATAAATACTTTTTCATAAGACTACATCGGTCATGCTGGCATTGCACTGTATGAGAGAATGTTATTCAACAAAAGCATGTAAATATGAACATTTAGATGTACATTCTGAATAAACTTTTAAAATTATAATTTTTAAGCATTTACAATCTTGAAAATAAAGTTTCCAAAAGGTTTTTTTTTTTGTAGTGATGCCATATAAACTATTTTGTTTCCACAAAGGAACAGTGAACAAAGAACCATTTTTTCGTAGTGTGAACATTTAAAAAATCTAAAGAACCTTTAAAAAAATAAAATAATGGTGCAATGGAAAGGTTCTATGGATGTTAAAGTTTCTTTGTGGGCTCATAAATGGCAATAAAGAGCCTTTATTTTTTAAGAGTGTAGATGCCCAAAGTACAAACTAATATAAGTCCCATTCCGTTTTTATCTGACCTTCAATTATAATTAAATGCAGATAAGTATGCACAACAAAGATAATAAGTGCTTTTTACGAAAGCTCACTTCTTATGAACACACCCAACTGTTGCAGGTCAAACGTTTTGAATAACACTTGGAGTTCCGCTTAGGGCGGCTGGCAACTGAGAACCAACAACTGCGCTCTCGCGGACATTCCTATCGCGCGGAGAACAGCAGCTGAGCGTGCGTGTCTGTCACTGGCGCTGCTGCCATGGCGACCGTGTAAACAAACGTACAAACTGTCAGCTCGAGCTAATGCCTCTGGCGGGTGAAGTTTCAGGAGCCCACGGAAAACTTACCTAGCACGCTGGCATCAGGTCAAATGACCCTCCGCCAGCTGTGTAAATCAAACGGCCCCCACAACAACTATCTGTGTCTGTTGAAGATTTAAGGCCTTTTGAGGTCAACAGCACTACATGAGGGTGTGAGAAAGGGTACATCAAATCCGTGAGGGAATAGTGACCACCACCATCATAAAATCTGAAGAGTATAGACGAATCCGGTGAAACTACCGGAAGTAAGCGGGCGCCATTACTGAGCTGTTGCTGGGTAGCGTTGCGCCATTGCCTCCTATTGTTTTAGTTGCAACTTGCATCCACTGCAATAAACAGCCCGCGATTTACGACTGTCACTAACGTTACAACTTTTATAATGTCGAGTGGGAAAACATGTTCCGTTTTAAATTGTTTCAATGGCGGCAGTAAAGGGCGCATTGGGGCAGTAACGTTAGTAACATTACTGTTATGTCTGTTGTTAATGTTTGATTTGCTTGACTGTGACAGAATTTTTTTTAAATAACAAATTAAATTAAATATAATGCAGTTTTTGTTATAATAACAATTATTTAATGACATACGTAAAAAAAATATAATAAATATGTAATATAGTGCTCAGCAAAATCTCCTCTCTAGCTAATTTTTCTATTCAATTAACATGCTATGGTAATTAAATGGCTTTCCTGAGCTAAATGTAACGTTATGTGACATAATTGTTCTCCTGCTGTTATATTGACCTCTTTCCATGGTTTAAAAACACTAATTTGTCGATATTATGTATACTTTCTAGCTGCACCTTACCCTTGCCTTTTGCAATGTGAAAATGAGATAAATAATGGACACAAATGAAAAACATGAATTCGTTTATTTGATGTCATTCGTTTATTTATTGTTGCCAAATGGACAGATCTTTTTATAGTTTCCTCGTTAGCTAACGTTAGCCTAGCTGGCTTACCAAGCTATTTTCATAAATAATCTGTAAGATCGTTTGTACCTTCATCTGTGACTGGAAGCCACTGTCTAACATCATCAACCCAACAAGTCATTCTGCCTGGCTGTAGCTGTCATCGAGGGTGCGTTATCACGGAGGTTTGTTTACATACCGGTAACAGCTCAGTAATGGCGTCGCCACAAGATGGCAGCCTACACAGAACGCTCGTCGGATTCGTGTATTCTCTCAGGATGAGTGCCAGAAATGAGCGTGGACACATTAAATTATAGCCTACTTACTAAATTGTCACCAATTATTACCTTAAAGATCAATTTCATATTTTTGACTTCAATAAAACCAGTTCAAGATGATAGCGCTACCACTTTTAGGCTATTGCTTTCTTGGCTATGAGATCAATTTAATATTTTTGACTTTAATAAAACCAGTTCATTTAGATGATACCACATAAAGCACTTTTTAACTGACAAAATATAGCCTAAAAGCACATGACTTTCATGTGTTTCCCTCAGTGTATTTGTTTTGAGTGCATACAGTGCAATCAAAACAAAATTATGAAATGCCACCCACACCAAAAATGATATGATCAATAAGTTATAACAACAAATGTTATGGTAAGTTATACAAGATTCAACACATTTTTAAGTCAACTTAATGTAATTTAAGTTTAAATGACTTGTTGAATCCAAGTTGATTGTACTTAAAAATTTAAGGCAGCAAAAAATTTTTTAACTTAAAAGGCAGCTGAGATGGCCAATAGATTCCTCCAATGTTACCCGTACACTATTAACAGCACTAGCATCACTAGACGTATAAGTGATTTTAATAGTGAAATGACTTACATGTTCCACTAAATGAAGAGCCATTAAAATACTTACTTTTCTCAGAAAAACTTTCAAAATACTCTTCAGCACAAGAATGTATCATAAATAAGTACCAAAATGACTTAGTATATCAAATAAGTA